TGTGGAGAATGGGGAACCCTCCTACTCTGCTGGTGGGAATGTAAAATAGTTCAACCATTGTGGAAAGTAGTATGGAGGTTCCTCAAAAAACTAAAAATAGAAATACCATTTGACCCAGGAATTCCACTCCTAGGAATTTACCCTAAGAATGCAGCAGCCCAGTTTCAAAAAGACATATGTACCCCTATGTTTATCACAGCATTATTTACAATAGCCAAGAAATGGAAATAACCTAGGTGTCCATCAGTAGATGAATGGATAAAGATGTGGTACATATACACAATGGAATACTACTCAGCCATAGAAGAAAACAAATCCTACCATTTGCAACAACATGGATGGAGCTAGAGGGTATTACGTTCAGTGAAATAAGCCAGGCGGAGAAAGACAAGTATCAAATGATTTCACTCATCTGTGGAGTACAAGAACAAAGCAAAAACTGAAGGACCAAACAGCAGCAGAACCACAGAACCCAAGAATGGACTAACAGTTACCAAAGGGAAAGGGATTGGGGAGGATGGGTGGGAAGTGAGGGATAAGGGGAAAAAAGGGGCATCATGATTAGCACGTATAATGTTGGAGGGAGAGACATGGGGAAGGCAGTATAACACAGAAAAGACAAGTAGTGATTCTATAGCATCTTACTACACTGATGGACAGTGACTGTAATGGAGTATGTGGTGAGGACTTGATAAAAGGGAGTGTCTAGTAACCATAATGTTGTTCATGTAATTCTACATTAATGATAGCAAAATAAAAAAATTCATTTAAAAAACCCCACCTTTGTTAGCTCCCCAATACCTATTAAATAAGTTCTTATTTCTTGGTATGGTATTCAAGACTCTTTAAAACCTGCTAACATTCCTTTACTATTCTCCACCATGCCCCCATACTCCAGTTGTGCCAGGTACAGGTGGCTCCCCCAGTGGGCTGGGCATTGTCAGGCTTCCTGACCTCTGCTCATGCTACAACTTCTGCATGGAATGGCATTTTTCTCCTTACCTGGCATAGTCCTGCCCATCCTGTTAAGCACATGAAAAGATGCTCCACATCCCTAATCATCAGAGAAATGCAAATTTAAACCACAATGAGATATCACCTTACACCAGTTAGGATGGCCAACATCCAAAAGACAAACAGCAACAAATGTTGGCGAGTATGTGGAGAACCTCCAGATTTTGTTTATGCTGCTGATAAGACATAACACACCATCTTATTCATAGAAGAATCTCCTTTGCTTGCACTGTTAGGTCTTTTGTGTTTTATATATCTTTGTCTTCCTAGCATTGAGCAAAGTCCCTAGCACAAAGTGGGTCTTCAGTAAAGAATTTTCAAGTTCCATTTCTAGGGAGGTCTCTGTTTCCCAAAGTATCTCTCTCACTGGCTTATAGCACTTAAAATTCTAGGTACTGAAGACTTTTTCCTATAAATATGTTTACAGATTTAGAGGAATTATTTTATCAGATGATTCCAAACATGACAGCTATTGGAAATTAAGACCCTTCAAAACTCTTTGATCCAGTAATTTGCCTTCCATGTATTTATCCTACAACTGTACTCATATACCTACAAAGTAACATGTTCACATTTACTCACTACATTGTTAGTAATAATAAGACTGGAAACAACCTAAAAATGCATCAGCAGGGAACTGGCTAGGTAAATTAGGGTAGATTCATGTAATGGAATATTACACAGTGTTGAAAAAAGAAATCAGGTCTTTAAAAAATTTGGAATGATCTCTAGTTATATTAACTAAGCAAGCTGTAGAATACTGTTCATAATATAATGCTATTCATGTTTAGAAGGGAAAAATATCTTTGCTTATTTAGGCACAAAATATTTTTGGAAGTATAAGAAACTGGTTGATTTATCTCCTTCTAGGGAGATGAAGTGATGCTGGAAAAAGGATTGTGGGGGGCACTACCCATTATACATCTTTCTGTATATTCTGAATTTTTAACCACATGAATGTGTATGTATTATCAATTTACTATTATAAGTATGAATATATTATCTATTGAAACAATGCATTAAAAACTTAACAAGCCTCTCAAGAAGCTTGGCATAGACTAGGCATATGTGTGTTTTGGGTCAGCAGGAATATTAGGAGAGGGGGCAGTTTTCCTGTTTTTGAGGAAGTCCAATTGTCACAATGGGGCTAGTACCTCTCGGGAGGAGAGGATCCATGTGGTGACAGAGAAAGGAAAGAAAAAGCTATTTGAGGAATAATTCAAGAAGGAAAGTCCATAGAACACTGCAGGGTTCTGTGCCTGGAAGCTGAAGGAAGACAGGAAATAATGCCACACCACTGAATGCATCATAAGCCCTAAAAAAACTGCAAACCCTTTGACCCAGATATGGATTGATCTACAATGTAATGTTGAGGGGAGCAAAGCAAAGTGGAGAACAGTGTGTATAGTATGATATCATTTGTATTTTTTTTAAAAAGGAAAATAATATCACATGAATTTGCTATATGCATAAATTACCTCTAGCAGGTTATACAAGATATTAGTGACATGTGTGGGGAGCAAAATTTTCTAGAAATTTAAATAATTGAACAAGTGCACAAGAATATGTAGTAACCAAACTGAAGATTGGTTGAATAGATTATGATGTCATAAATAGAATCTTAAAATGGCAAAATAGCAGTCATTAAAATAACAATTCATACACACTCCCAATCCCAATGTTATTAAAAACTTTTTATAAATGGGAAAGATAGGCTAGCAAATATGAATTGATCCTATTTCATTAACTTTTACATGTCCATATATATAGGATACAAATGGATATATGTCACAATATTAATTGATTACCTCTATTATTGGCATCTTTATTTTCTTGATATTCTATCTTGTTTTTCTTTTATAAATCATAAATATAATAAAGTTAAATATAAAAAACAAGCAATAACCTGAATAGCAAGGCCTTTTCTCTTTGCTGACTCAAACCCCGCCCACAACATAAGAACCCTTCCCCATCAGAGAGTTGTTCCCAGAGCCCATCCCCTCCAGTACTCTCCTTCTGCCCAAGAGAGCACCAGTCCAAGGCCATTAGCAGTTAAGTCCTTAGGTGCACAGGCAGCCCTAGGCAGGAGGATCAAGGTTCCTAAAAACACTTGAAGCCACCACCTGATTCCAGTGGATAAGGAAGTGTGTGTTGGGGGGAACCAGGGATACCTCCTACCCACTATCCCACAGAAAGCATGAGGGGGAGGGAGGTTAAGCCTTTGCTCTATCCCACCACCATTTCTCTCTTGGTGATCATTTGGGAAAAGTTGGGGTGGAGAGTGTAACAGGAGAGAGAGGGCTTGTTCTTCAGTTTAAATGTTCTGTATCTCCTTGAGAAGAGGCTGATGGAAAAGTACAGCATAACAATTCTTAATACAAGTAAACAATACCTTATCGGTCTGTTACCTGTCAGGTCAGGGACTCCAGTGGTGGTGAGCAGTGGTGTGTCTGCCTGGCTACTTTAATTACGGTGTGCATGTTTCTGAATGTCAAAAGGCAGTTGTCAGTGATAGGGGAGGTGGTCCATTTCCCGTTCCTGCTGTAGTGTACTTGAATAGTGTCTATGTTGGCTTCTAAGGAGGACAAAATTTCCTGCTCAGTTCCATCTGTATCTCAGGAAACAGGCTCTGCCACCAAGCGTTCCTGGGTGGTTGGGGAGAGAGATGCTGCCTCTCGGGCAAAATAAGAGCCCAAGGGAAAAGAACCCATTAAATAAAGGAGCCTCAGCAGCACAATACAGCTCTGACTGGCCCTGGTTTTGCGTCTCATGATTTTCCCCGTTATAAAGATTCTCCACATTCAAGAACCAATTGAAAACCACCTTTACTTTACAGACAGGGAACCCCGGTAACGCCCGCACCTGCGCACTAGGAATGCACGCGCACCACACATTACACGCGCCGACACGCCGTAACACAGGCACAGCACACAAACCAAGCACACCAGGGGTCGAGGAGGGAGGCTGCTTCATACCCACGCGTCCCCAAACATGCACGCGGGAGTCGGGAAGAGAGGGAATGTGAGATGGGCAGGGCGCACACGGAGCCGCGCTCTGCGCCTCCTACCTTCCGAGTGCAGGATGCACCTCGGACAGGCTCCCTCCCGAGGGCCCACCGCCCACAGGCCCCCCGGGCGGACGGCGCGCCTCCTTCCGGGCGCGGCGGCCTCAAGCTCCGTATCTATGGGAAAAAGCATCGCAGGCTGGAGAGGTGTGGAGAGATGAGGTGCGCTCCAGGGAAGGGGTCTCGGGACCTGATGAGCACGACAGTGGGGATGGTGGCGGGCCTGTCCCCTATCCTTGCCCCTCAGGCCTTACTGATTCCGGTGTTGCGGCTGGTGGCTGTGCGGCGTCTCCCTGTCCTGTGCCGTGGCTTCACTGAGGTGGTGCCGGACGTCCCCGCCTAGGAGCGGGCTCCGGCTCAGGTGACCCCAGCCTCCCCGCCAGCCCTGGCCGCCGGCCCGGCTAAGCGCTTTCAGCAGAGCCCTCACGGAGCGCATCCCCGTAGCGCCTCCCGCTCAGCTCGTCGGGCGAAGGTTGGAGGGAGGGGCAGAAGAATCGCGAAGAGGCAAAGTTGGGGGGAGTTCCGGGGGCAAGGGCGGTGCCTGGGAGGAGGAGTTGAGGGTTTGGGCAGGAGAAGGAGGGACAGGTCCCGGTGAGGGTGGAGCCACTGCCAGGGGCGCTCAATACCCTCCCACCCGGGGCCGCGAGAGCAGCGCGCCGCACATCGCCGAAAACCCAGCCGAGTGGGTCTAGTCTCGGGCAGCAGGGGCTGGTGCCTGGAGTTGAGATGGACAATGTCCAGGCCCAATCAGGAGGAAGCACACATCTTGGGGGCGGAGAAAGGATAGGGTTACCCAATGAGAGCATGGCGGCAAGCCGTCCGCAGAAGCCTGCGGGGACCTGCGCGCTCCCAACATGCAGCGGTCTGAGGGTCCGCGCTGAGCACGAGAGCTGAGGCAGGGGCCCGCGATGCGGTGCGAACGATGGAAATCTTGGAGGCAGAGGAGAGCGGCACCTCTGTACACTCGAACGAGAGTAAGCGCTGCTCGCGAGGCCGCTTAGTGACCCGACACTCAACGGCCGGACCGGCCTCGGCCTCGGCTGTGGAGCGCCTACCCCGCCGCGTGATGCTGGTGAGTGAGGAGTCGCAGCGGCGGTGCGGAGGCGCGAGGGTTACCCTGGGGTCGCTGGGTTGCTGGGTCGCTCCTGCTGCCACTTGGTGGTTATTTAGGACTTCGGTGTTCTTATCTCTGAGCCCTTAAACATTTATAAACTGTGACATGCTACAAAGTGTTTTACTTGCAGGCAAGAAGTGATGTAAGAAAGAATCTCGAAAACGAAGCATATTCAGGAATTTTATCATTTGCAACCAGGAGAACGTCATCTGCGTTTTTTACAGCGCCTAACAAAATCTATGTTTAATAGAAACTCACGTAAATAGTAGCTGTTATCTAGTGCCTGCGGTGTGTCAGCCACTTTATATACCACATACCTACAGGTGGTTATTATTAGTCCCACTTTAAAGCTAGGGAAACTGAGACTCAGAAATTAGGACTCCTGTGAATAGCATAACCTAGTTTATAAGAACCAGAGCCCAGAATTAAACCCAAGTCTCCGACTGTAAAGTTCTCTCCATCATGCTGCTCTTCCCCAAATTAACCCGGGAAATGCCCCCATCCCAAAGCGAAGCATTTTATCCCGAAGCGCTGTGATACAGTACGAAGTGTCTAGAGGACGGCTGGGTATCACAAAATACCCGTTTATCATTTTTGAATTAAAATAAACGTCAAAGGTACGCGTGGGAAAATAAATACCAAAGCCCTACTCTTGTGTGCTCTGTGGAGAGGCAGCTCTAGTTTGCCTTGGTTAGGGTTGGAGGCTTTATTCGGTTTCAAACCAGATAGAAGGGCCTGTTGCTTTTGCCTTTCCCCCCTGTAGTCTATCTATTCTGTTGGTAGGACTCTTAACTCAGCGGCTCTTGCTGGCCCTGGGCTGTCTCGTTGCATGGCTTCCACCCTTTGCCCATGACTAATTGCAAAAAAAATCTGCATCTTAATATTTAGTATAAACTAAGCAGCATTAGGGTTTTTCCAAATGTAACAGGCTAATCTTACCCTTGTATCATAGGAATGTTATTTCTCTGAAGCTTTTGAATGTCTAGAGAAAGATACCATATGTTAGGGAATTGCTAAACATCGCATTTATTTCCTACCCCTGCTTTTTTGAATTATCTTTAATTACAATGAGTAATGAGTTCCTCACTTCTTCCAGTTATCTCTGATAATAACTACCTGGGAAGTGAAGAAAATCTACCTGTAGAAGTGGAGGTTCTGTGTATAGAAAACTAGCCCCTACCTGCACTCAGACCTGCTGCCTTTGCATGCGGAGGGAGCATGAACGGTGACTTGGGAGACCCACTGCATTGTGTAAAGTCTAAGATATTCAAGGAGTTTGTCATCCCACAGTTAAAGCTTGGCAGTGTCAGGTCCTAATTTATTTGAAAGGGACCGAACTAGTTAAATCTGAAAAGTGTTAGCCAAGGGTGCCACAGCCAGCTACAAATGAAGCTTTTCGTAAGTGAAAGAAAACCTTCGTGTGTCCCTAATAGTCGGTTTCTGGGTTAGTCCCTGGTTGTGCCAGAGTTTTATGGTGTATGGGGAGGATTGGTCTTAATGATTTTGAAACTTTGAATCAGAAAAGCTAAATCCTCTGTGGTACAAAATTGGAAACTTTTATCTTACGTTTGAAGAATGATTCTTTGTTAGGATTTAGAGATTCTCATTTGTTTTACTCCTTAGACTGTAGCTAGGATGTTAATTAGGTAGTACAAGTTAAAAATATTTGCATAAGTTTTTTTTTTTTATTAATCTTTGTTCTCTTAATGTTACAATGGTGCACACTTTTTCCAGCCTTAGATTTTCCATTTGTAAAGATAACCTTGTATTTTACTGGGGGAAATATAAGTACTGTGAACTCTGACACAATCATTGTCCATTCATTCAATGAATACTTAATCATTAGCCTTTGGTGCGCCAGCCCCAGTGCTAGGGAATCACTATTAGAAAAAGTGAGAAAGCTAATGTTTAAAAAGCCTACTGAAAAATGCTGGTATGGAGATATGCAGAAGGAAGCATAAAGAAGAGGCACCTAGTGAGGCTTAGGGTGAAGGGCTGCTAAGGTAAAGGGGGAGGGACCTCAAGGAATGTTGGGCCATGGGAGCCAACTCTTAAAGGATGAGAGATGTTCCCAAGGAGATGAGAAGAATGGTGTTCCAGACAGAAGGCTGCGCAAAAACAAACAGAGCATGAGAGGAACTTTTGAGGGACTCTAGATAGTTTGGTTAGAGTGAAAGTTTGGTTAGATGTGAGAATGTGTGTACCAGTGAAGCTGAGGATGTAGGTGTGATGCCTGGGTTCTTGTTCATGAAGCGGAAGAATGAGCTTCACAAACATTCGAGGTAGGAGAGCAAGGTACAGGCTTTTATTTAGAGGTAAAGTGAAAGGACAGAGCTCCTGGCTCATGTCAGAGAGGGGACAAGAGAGACTGGGGTGGTGCGTTGTCTAGGGGTTTTATAGGCACTTAAGGATTTTTGAGAATAAGAAAAAAAGCTTAGGGGTGTGGACTTGTTAAGTGGTCCTTGAATGTTTAGAATTAACTTAACACAAGCAACTTCCTGCTCTGATAATTTCTCCCTGAGATACCAGCATCTTGGTCTGGGGGCATATGAAACAAGGCCACCTGCCTAGACCCCAAGGTGGGCTGCGGTATTGTTTGCTAAAGAGTAAGTTAAGAATTTCTAACGTCTTAACTTCTTGGGTATTAAAATGCAATCTCATCTTTAAGGTAGAATCCTTGCCTTTTACTGTGTTGTTTATGGCTTGGCCTGCGTGCTAAATTAGTTGCCCAGTTTGCAAATCACCTCATCAGATCTGAAGGAGAAAAGACAGCACATAGGCTTGGGCCTTTTAGCATGTTAAAGTGAATTTTACACATGGTATAAATGATTAGCATAATAAAAACATGTGCTACTCTTTATCTGGGAAATATTAACTGATCTCACTGAAGAATGACTCTAGAGCTGAATGTTTAACACAGAGTTTTAGTAGGGGGTTTCCTTGTGTGTAGTTACATGGTTCTGACTGTAAATACTTTGCCCTGATTTTTCTGGAGGCCCTCACCCTACTCTGACGACACCCATGGTCCCTGTCTCAGGTGGTTGCTGCTTTATGAGGAGTTTTTGAATGCTATGATAAGAATATTCAGCTACATCCTACAGGGAACCTCCTCCTCACCAGACTCCCTCCTTCAGCATTTAAATAAGCTCAAGCCTCTGCCATCTTAGGAAGCAACCACTATATTTTGTCTCTGTGTGTAATTAAATGAAAACATTTCAGTCAAGCAGCTTTATACAATTCAGATTTTCCATTTTTCTTTTTCTCATTTAAATTGAGATACAATTGGACTCTTGCCTGTTTTCTCTCCCCTACTCTCCCCTACTGTGTGTTTTCCTCACTCTTCATTCTTTCCTCTGGAGTGGTGGGACCGAGCTAATGCTGCTAAGAGAGGGACTGTGGGTGTAGTCAGTGTAAGATAAATTCTAACCGAAATAAGCAGGTGACGAGAGGCAACAAAGGGCCAGGCAGTTTATTTGAGCGTAATCCCGGGTGATGTTCCTGGGATTGAGATGGACAATGTCCAGGCCCAATCAGGAGGAAGCACACAGGCAGGGGAAGTCATGCTCAGTAGGGCAGGCAGCGAGTTAAAGAAGGTAGGAGGAGGCAGAGCTTAGATTTACAGCGGCTCGAGAATTGGCTAGTTTAAGGCACATTTTTCAGGTTGGGAGGGGGCAGCAGCCAGGGACTTTGGCATGTTATCAGTGTCCTACGTGCTCACCCCTCCCTCCAACCTGACAGTCAGAGTAGGCTGAGGGCCTCTGGAAAAGCAAGGCAGGATATTTACAGTCGGAGCAATGTAAATGCAAGGAAACCCCCTACCAAAACTCTGTGTTAAACAATAAGCTCTAGAGTCATTCTTCAGTGAGATCTGTTAATAATCCCTAGATAAAGAAGAGTAGCACATGTTTTTATTATGCTAATCATTTATAATCATGTGTAAGGTTCACTTTAACATGCTAAAAGGCCCAAGCCTATGTACTGTCTTTCCTCCTTCAGATCTGATGAGGTGATTTGCAAACTGGGCAACTAATTTAGCGTGCAGACCCAGCCATAAAGAACATAGTAAAAGGCAGGAAGGATTCCACCTTAAAAATAAGATTGCATTTTAACACCCAGGAAGTTTAAGAAGTAAGATTCTTAACTTTTTAGCAAACAATACCTCAGCCCTCCTTAGGGGCTGGGCAGGTGGCCTTGTTTGATATGCTCCCAGACCAAGAGCTGGTATCTCAGGGAGAAATCTTCAGAGCAGGAAGTTGCTTGTGTTAAGTTAATTCTAAATATTCAGGGACCACTTAACAAGTCTCACCCCTAAGCCCTTTATCCTGTACCCAAAAATCCTCCACTGCCTCTAAAACCCCTAGACAATGCACCACTACAGGCTCTCTTGTCCCCTCCTGGTGTGAGCCAGGAGCTCTTTGCTTTCACTTTATCTCTGAATAAAAGCCTGTACCTTGCTCTCCTACCTTGAGTGTTTGCGAAGCTCAGTCGGCTCAGTGAACAAGAACCCTGACATCACTGCCATTATGTTGCTTTGGCTTCATGGGCTTCAGTGGATTCATTGGAGTTAGAAGTTTAAGTAATATTAATCAAGGCTAATGAATAGATTAATATATCTAAAATTGCTAAGACATCGTTAGGAAGTACATGTATTGAAATAGGGTTTAGGTTATGGCTAGAGCACTAAGGTGCTGGTGTGCATTTTTTAACTTGATGTCAGACCTTTGTGGAGTAAATGAAATTTCATATTAAGTCCAAATGTATCTATGATCTATCCCACTGTGCTTTCCTAGTCCATCTTTGATTTAGCAATTACAAAACCAACTCTTATAGGACTAGAAGAAGTATAAACATGAGCATGTAAAAAAAATCACAGTATGTCATCACACTGGTCAGATTTACTGTGCCTAATACATATTTTCTCTATTTTGCCAAATAGTGCCTCCTGTAATCTGGTTTCT